CCTTCTTGAAAAGGGTGGGGTTCCTTTCTTGACAAGGTGGGGCTCCCTTCTTGACAAGGTAGGGCTTCCTTCTTGACAAGATGGGAGTTCCCTTCTTGACAAGGTGGGGGCTCCTTTCTTGACATGGCGGGGGCTCCCTTCTTGACAAGGTGGGGGCTCTTTTCTTGACATGGTGGGGGCTCCCTTCTTGAAAAGGTGGGGGCTCCTTTCTTGACATGGTGGGGGCTCCCTTCTTGACAAGGTGGGGGCTCCTTTCTTGACATGGTGGGGGCTCCCTTCTTGACAAGGTGGGGGCTCCCTTCTTGACATGGTAGGGGCTCCCTTCTTGACAAGGTGGGGTTCCCTTCTTGACAAGGTGGGGGCTCCCTTCTTGACAAGGTAGGGCTTCCTTCTTAACAAGGTGGGAGTTCCCTTCTTGACAAGGTGGGGGTTCCCTTCTTGACAAGGTGGGGGCTTCTTTCTTGACATGGCGGGGGCTCCCTTCTTGACAACATGTGGGCTCCATTCTTGACAAGGTGTGGGCACAGTGCTTGAAAAGCTGTGGGCTGCTCCATTTTGACATTTTTTTTTCCCTGCCATCAACCTTGTTACATTTTTTATTACCCAGTCCATTTTTTTTCTTTCGCCTCTTCTGAATTTGACCTGTCAGTCATGTGTAAGTGGGGTTATGAGCTTCAGTCTCTGGACCAAAGTCGTGGGCATGACGGCTGCAGATTAACGTGATCCGATTCTCTTCATCGAAATTATGCCTTTTAAAGCTATTTCACACACAACACACACCACACACACACACACACACAACCACACACACATATATATATATATAAAAATATATATATATTTATATATATATAATATATATATATATATATATATATATATATATATATATAATATATACATGTATAATATATACATATAATATATTTGTCGTGCCGAATATGTAAAACTGGTCAATTAGCAAGAACTCATTTAAAATTAAGTCCTTTCTAAAATTTTCTCTTATACTCTTAAAAATATATATTTTTCGTTAATGTTAGTGTAAAATTTTTTAATTTTGCTCCAAAAGAATCTTAGAAAACTTACCTAACCTTATTATAACAAGAGCAATTTATTTTAGCCTAACCCAACTAAATATATTTTAGATTCGTTTACAATAATTTAATACTAAACAAACATAGTGAAATATAATTTTTTCGTTAGGTTCAGAATGATTTTGGCGAAATTATTGCATACACAAATTTTCACTTGTCCTATATGGCAAGATGAGCGTTGTTATTTAAGCCAAGATCGCAAGTTCTGCCTATTCGGCACGACATATATTATATATATATAAATAATATATATATATATATATATATATATATAAAATATATATTATATATATATATATATATATATATATTATTAACACATCGGCCGCCTACCACCAAGGCAGGGTGGCCCGAGAAAGAAAAACTTCCATCATCATTAACTCAATCACTGTCTTACCAGAGGAGTGCTCGCACTACAGTTATAAAACTGCAACATTAACACCCCTCCTTCAGAGTGCAGACACTGTACTTCCCATCTCCAGGACTCAAGTCCGGCCTGCCGGTTTCCCTGAATCCCTTCATAAATGTTACCTTGCTCACACTTCATGTCGTGCCGAATAAGTAAAACTGGTCAGTTAGCAAGAACTTATTTAAAATTAAGTCCTTTCTAAAATTTCCTCTTATTCGTTTAAATACACATATATTTTCATTTACGTTAATATAAAAATTAAAAGTTTTGTACCAAAATAATCCTAGAAAATTCACTAACCTTATTATAACAAGCGCAATTTAATTTAGCCTAATCCAACTAAATATATTTTAGATAAGTTTACAATAATTTAATAATAAACAAACACAATGAAATATATCTTTTCCTTTAGGCTCAGAATGATTTTTGCGAACTTATTGCATACACAAACTTTTGCTTGCTATTTAAGCCAAACTCGCAAGTTTTACCTATTCGCCACGGCATGTATTTCCCTCACTATATATCTTCTCACGTTCATTCATTGCTTCAAAACTATTTACCAATATAGCTCACTCACATCTCGCTCATATTAGCAGCATCAAGGGAGAGTGGCCAGACTGCCTGTAACATTCACTTATGTATTTCGACGAGTCCATGAAACATATCATTCGCGATCAGCGTGTTTAGACGCTTTACATCACGAGCAAGAGGACTAGAAGCGTTTATTGATGAAACAAGGATTAATTAATGTCCTCGGAGATTTGACCATTCACTCACTGCGCTTGTATTCCTAATTCTTGTTTTGTGCATTGAAACATAATTGCAGTCAGTGCAGGCATCGTTGACTTTGGTTACTGATGCAGCTTGCTTATGGTCAGTCTTGAGGTACACTGGTATCTGGACGCATTCACTCAGTGTTTTCTTCCACCTCTGCTCCTCCTTTGTCCCGTTCCTCTACTGCTTCTTCTGTTTCTATATATTTTTCTACCTCTACTCC